TTAACAATAGTAACCATTGTCTTTGGATTTATAGTAAAATCATCTTTTCGTAAGGGTTGTGCTGTTGTCTGCCCTAGCTCCCCCCTAAACCTATTATAAAATATGATTATTTGTCTGCTAAATTACTACTGTAACATTATAATAGATAATAATGATGTCCTTTATACAGTATTTTAAGTGATGACTGATGAGCAATGAGCTGTTGCTGCTTAACTAAGTAAACAAAGACAAAACTACAATAGCATATTTACAGATGAAACTGACCTGCACTTGAAACCCTGAACAGTAGTTTTGCTTCTCTGCTCCACCTGTGCGCTTCCACAGTCCACTCCATTCTCTCTCTCACACAGGGCCGTGCTGAGACCTTTGGAGGGGCAGGTGCTCAAAGTATAAAATGGGCACATGGAGCACGGCTTTTAATAGGGCTGTGCTCCTTGCTGAGACATATCGAAACGGATGCTTCTGTATTGATGGCAGCAAATGCCGTGACGCAGTTTTGAAAAAGAAACACAGAACAGAAAAGACCATTTTAAGTTTAAAAGTTAAATAAAAATGTATTTGCACCTCTTAATCCCTCTGACAATAGAAACGGAATTAAATTAGGCCTATTATTATTATTGAGTTTACAGGGTATGGTGGTTTTGCTGTTGTAAACACTACTGTTGTTGTAGAAACAATATTTCTAATTTAAAATATAATTATATTATAATCCTGTTCTGAATTTATTCTTTTTTTTTTTATTATAATGATGCTAAAAACAGGATTGATAAGTAGCCTATAAATCGGAGGATGAGAAAATCAGTATAAGCCTGTTTTATCAGGGTTGTGATAATTATTTTTAAGGCACTCTATGTTTTTTAAATAAATACTGTAATAAAAAATGTTCAAAGTAATAGTTTTTTAGTCAGATAACAAAGACAAGACCCCTCGACGCCCTTTAAACTTTTCCCAATCAAAGAGTGAAAGAGAGCTGGCACCTTTGTTTATATTGCTGTGTGTAGAACGTTGATGCATGTTTAATATTTTAAGCTGTGCATGCTCTCTTCACGCAGTTCTTGTATAATAATAATAATTTAATAATATAAGTATACAAGCACACCGCTCCGCTGAGAACTCCACTTAACGGCAGCTGCGGGCGTTATGAGGGTATCCAGGTATTGCGCTACATTAATGGTGTCTGAACGTGAGGGATCGTCCCGGATGAGATCGTCAGGTGAAAGGTCATCATCATGTGGATAATTTTATTTATGACTAAATTACAATTCATTCATTTTACTAATAGTTAGATTGGACAGGCCTTCACAAAATGGCGTTTAATTACTAAAAACAATTGCCTTGACAAAAGGGCACTTTGGGCATCAAGGGGAAAGGGGCAGGTGCTCAAGCACCCATTGCACCCCCCTCTGCACGTGCCTGCTCTCGCATTGATTACTCTGATCCAAATCATTTGGCGGAGGCATGGAGAGCACGCGAGCCGAAGCATTGCCAGTCACGACTAACCAATTCATGATTTATTAGAGATTTCATTATCGAATGGCGAATTCGGAAATAATCGCTTTAGTACATTCGGCAGGCAATTATACAATAATAATATGAAAATAGCGGGCCAAATCGGCAGCCAGGCCACCGGGAATTGTCCTGGTTCTCCCGATGGCCAGTCCGTGTCTGTGGAAATCGTGCACGATTCATATATTGTCTTTTCGCGGCTTAATATTCACAGACACTAGTCCATATCGCGTTTTGATTTAAGTGCACTGACCTACTTTTGATTTATTCATCCAAAATGTGGCATATTCCGTCTGCGTTAGGCTATAGGAATTCCGTTTTTATGACTGGATTCTACGAACCAGTCTGTGTTTTCCGCATAAGGCCGTATGTCTCAGAGTAGTCAGTGCAATTTGGGAAAGAAATCAATTAAATCTGTATGTGGATGTGTGTAAATATTCACATGTATTCCCCTTTGTAATCATTAACATTTTCATAAGTAACTAATTTAATTACACATTTTTTTCTTAGTAACTGTAACTTACATTTACAACATACATTTATGTTGTAATTAAATTACGTAACGCCGTTACATGTAACTAGTTACTCCCCAACACTGATAGTTTCATACTACTAGTATGCTCCTTGAGTGCACATGGAAAGTATCCCTGTGCTAGGACTTCTATTTCACCACCTGATTTGAACTCTTTTGGGATATTCACTCCATGTCTGAAGTGTTTTGGGAGCACATGGGACCTGGTGAATGTTTGGACAAACAGTGGACACTCCTTGAACTTTCTATCATTCTCAAGCATCATCATCAACGATAAGTGCAAGAGACATTCACAGAGAGAGAGAGAAAAAAAAATAATTTATGATTCTTGGACGATGTGCAAAATCTATCTTCCATCCATGAGTGATAATCACTGCTATGTTGGGTTATGACAAAAGCTTACAAGTCGTTGGGCCTTTTCATATCATACTCATCTACTGTAATAGTCCATGCTGATTTTTCTATTAATAATGATTGAGTAACTTGCATTTGTGGGTCTCTCCCCTTTTTTTTTTTTTTTGGTTTGCACCTATGCTTTTTTTTTTCTCTCTGTGCTATAGTTTTTTTGTTGTTGTTTTTTAAGATGCATATATTAAGAATGGTTGATGGGCCTCAATAGATTTTGTAGCAGGCATCTTCTTTAAAGAAAGGAGAGCGGTTACATGGTAGTTAGTAAAAGACCTAAATTATAAGCAATTTTGTATTGAGAAATGTGATTTTTGATTTGCTTGACACTTTGATACAAAGTCATGATCCAGCATTGCTTGCAGACTGAGATGCTCCTTTTATACCCAAACATGACACCCTCACCTATTACCAATTGCTATTTATTAATTTTTTTGTATTTTTTGTATTTTGTATTTTTTTTATTTTATTAAAATTAAAATTGTATTTTGTTTTATTTAGTTGTTGTTGTTGAAAATGCTAAAAAAATAACTGTCTGTGATGCTCGCACACAGAGCACATGATTTTCTGTAACCGCACATCCATGCAATGAACAATCACACCCTTGTAATAACTACATAGATCCCAATCCTGTCTGAATCAGTATTTGTATAAAATCACAAGATGTCCTCCGTTAACAACAGCTGCTCAAAAGTTATTTACAAAGTAAATCCTGTCTGAATAGAGATACAAAAAGAGTCATTCCGCTCTAATTCCATGAAAGGGATCCTATGATACCGTTACTCAACACAGGTCTGAGATGAGAACAGATTGCAATGTAAAAGCAGTAGCGGAGGCCAGTTTACTCACCATATTGATGGTGCTTCTGTGCCGCTGATCTCTAGAAAGTCATATCTATCTTCTAGTTGGAAGTCTGTGAAGACGAGGGCAATGGTGTCTCCCGGCTCGGCCAGAATACTCCACGTGCAGTCAGCATTGTTCTCATACTCTGAAGGAAAATGGGGACTTGATATTGTCCCTGTTGTTCCTCGTAACGTCCCACCACATGATCCTTCAGCTGGACAAAATACCACAAAAGTTACAAATTAGTATTTAGGCAAAGGTAAAATTACACCATATATAAATCAACATTAATTTTCAGAGCTCGTATCCCATGACTTTTTGTAGTCATTCATGAATAATGTATTAAAAATCCAGAGCTTAAATATAAGGAGTGCCCCACGATGCAGCGTCTAAGACAGGATCAGTACTGCTGCTCTCTAAACGCAGAGTATACTGGTTACCATTCATGTGCAAGAAGACGCAAAAGAGAACTGTTTATTTAATTTATATCTACTATTGTATATATTTTTATATATATATTACTTGAAATTTGTTTAAAGTCTACACGTCTTTAATAAGGTTTTAACTTTATGGCTGGACGTTTTTTGCTGTGGATTCAAAACTGGAATCAAGAAATGTAAAAATTGACGTGACATGACGTGGCCAAGTATGGTGACCCATACTCGGAATTCTAAGTGCACACACACAGCAATGAACACACACACACCGTGAACACACACCCGGAAAATATAGGCTCAAAAGATGCACTACTCAAAGAGGCATACTAGTTAAAAAACTGTAATGTTGTGGAGAAGCTGGGGGGAAAGGCAGAGGCAAGGATCTATGTGCAGGTATTTAATGGAAAAACTAAAACAAACAATAAGCCAAAAACCAAAGGAAACAAGGAACAGAATGACTGGCAAACAGACAAACATTAGGCCTACATTCAACAACCCACAAGGAACTAAAGAAAAACTAGGGCTATATACACACACAGGGGAATAACAAGCTTAAAGCCCCGTTCACACCAAGAACGATAACTATAAAGATAATGATATTAGTGTCCACACCAGTGGACGATATCGTCTGATTATTCTAAGCGTACAGTCATCTGTCGCTTTAAATTCTCAAACTTGTGATAGCAGGATTGATTCTGATTGCCTGACAATGTTTTTATTGTTCATCAGCTGGAAAAAATCGTTCTGAAAATGATTCCAACTATATTGTTTCTCTGTGTCTTTATCGTTATAGCTGTGGTGTGCACTCTTCTATTCTTTAATATTGAGAACAATTTTTAGAACTACATTTTTATTGTTATCTTTATAGTTATCATGCTTGGTGTGAACAGGCCATAACAAGATAAGACACATCTGAGGAGACTAATCAAGGGGAACCAATGAACAAACAGACTACAAACTGACTACAAATACCACGGGAGACAGGAAGTGAGATAAAAGTCCAGGGCAAGGTACAGAGAACATGTAACAAAAACAAGAAAGAGTTGATTTGTGAGGAGAGCAATCACGTTTATTTTCTAAAACCAAAATAAAACTGAACACCTCAAAATTACAAAACAAACAAACAAACAAAAAAAACAGTATCCTTCAAAAAGGTCTCTTCAGTATAATTGATAAATAAAATAATGTTGAGTAAAATTAAAATGCCGAATCCTTCTTGCAGTGGATGTGCTGATTTCGGCCTCATTGCCGGCTGCAGTCATATCATATATAAAACACCTCTGATTCACAAATACTTGCTAAGGAACTGGCATTCACATAAAGTAGCCTTGTTGACAAGTTTGGGTGAGTAAGGGCAAAACGCACAAGATGCAGTACTTTCAGTGACCTGTAACAGGCAGTATCACGTCTTTTGTAGCAGAATTAAACTGCTGCAGAAAAAGCTAGGTCCATGCAAAATGTAATGTGTAACTGCAACACTCATTTCACATGTAGTGGAGTAAAGAGTACAGATACTCATTCAAAAATGTAGTGAAGTAAAGAGTAAAAGTTGCTCATATCTTTGATACTCCGTACAACTACAAAGTATCCAAAAAGTACAGTAACTAATTACATTTACTCCAATACTTTACACCTCTGCAGAGGATGCCATAATCAAATTAAAAACATCAGACAAATATAAAACTTTTGATTTAGAATTTATAAACAACATTTAACCTTTTTTGCAAAATATGAATACACATAAAAACATTTAAGTAAGAGCGTAGGGATGCTGACTCGAAGGATTCATGGGAGTGGCCGTGTTCCTTTGCTGCAATTTGCTTGTGTCAAATCTCTGATTGGTGATTTCTAGGCAGAATCATGGATAATGTGTTTTTCTCTGTGCTATAGTTTTTTTGTTGTTGTTTTTTAAGATGCATATATTAAGAATGGTTGATGGGCCTCAATAGATTTTGTAGCAGGCATCTTCTTTAAAGAAAGGAGAGCGGTTACATGGTAGTTAGTAAAAGACCTAAATTATAAGCAATTTTGTATTGAGAAATGTGATTTTTGATTTGCTTGACACTTTGATACAAAGTCATGATCCAGCATTGCTTGCAGACTGAGATGCTCCTTTTATACCCAAACATGACACCCTCACCTATTACCAATTCACCTGCTTACTGTGTTTCAAAACAGTTTAACTTGGATATTCTATAACCTTTTTTACTTTTATTTTGCCTCTGTCCCAACTTTTTTGGAGTGTTCTGCAGCCATAAAAATCCAAATGTGTTTATATTTACAAAATACATTTAAGTTGGTCAGTGAAAACTTTGGAAATATGTTCTTTTTCTTACATTTTAAGAGCATTTAATGTACATTACATTTACATTTGTCAGTTAAATAAAAGTTAAAGGGCATTAACAAATCACAAGTTATTAGATTTTTCATCTGTAAGATGATGTAGGCAAAAAGTATTTTAGATTTCCATTAAAGGAGGTACTTGAGCAAAATCTAGGGATGTCAGAGACTTAAGGGTGGATGCTTTGGGCTTCATTTATGATATAGCATCACCATTACAAGTATACCACATGTTTTGTGATTGCAACTGTGGCCATTATGTAGTCTCAGTTTAATTAAATCTGACTCAATTGAATCATTCATTGACATGAGTAACATCAATAAATAATAAATTTCAAAACTTCATGCAGAATTTTTTTATGGATGTGGAAAAAGTGTTCAACATTACCATTCACATGTGGATGATATAGCATGAAATTCCTGTTTATACAACGTGTCAATAGGATACTGCTGCTGTTTATGGTAAGAATAAACATCCTGATATTACTTTTCTGATGCCGTGTAAATAGATTCTGCTGTTATTTCATCACCAGTCCAGTGAAGTAATGTTATTGCTCTCTTACAGCAAGTTTGTGTATTTTCGAGCCTGTGTTTTGGTGAAGCGAATAATGAAGCAAATTATTTGCGAGGTTGACTGTGTGACTACACATCCTCGATGCTCCACACGTCAAGAGCGAGGACATATTTATTCACAGAGCTTGAAGTTAATAGAGTTCAGGCAGAGCCTTCTTTACCATCTCTCACTGGGCTAGGACTTACAATTTGGTCACAATTGCAAACCTTTGAAAACACTGAAGAAGTATCTGATGAAAGGAGGCAGACAGACACAGGTGAGGAGAGAAAACAAGATAAATGTATTAAATCACCGAGTGGTGATCATCAAGTTGACAGCTGCAGGGACACATTCAAACAGTCACAGAGCAAGTGATATGTTCCCAGAATAATCAGTGAGATCAATGGTATCTCATTTCCATCTGAGGGTATTTTGGATCAATACCTGAAAGACAGACAAAGCCCTGTTTGGATGAGACTAGTTTACCATATGTAAGTTTAGGTAAATTCGTATTTCATTGTCGTAATTTGTGATAGTCAGTGAATGCCTCACCCTAAATGAAAACATAAGACTGCATTGTGCTGCATTCCAAGTCTTCTGCAGTTATATGGTAGATCTGAGTAAAGAACCAATGGAAATCTGAAAGGTTTTCAGTCAATAATGACCTAAATTGCAGTCTGTTCCTCACATAGAGCTACCATATGACTTCTCTAGACTTGAAATATAGTGTGTGTGTCATGTAGACTGGTTTTATGGTGTTTTGTGTCATGAAGCTTGTCAGTCCCTGGACAGTATGAACTGTCTGTGAGGGAAAAAAGTTGCATAGTTTCTTAATGTTTTTATTTGTTTTGAAAAAAACAGTTATTGGGTTTAATATGACGGTGAGTAAATAAAGTTTTTTTTTTTTTTTGCTATTTATTAATTTTTTTGTATTTTTTGTATTTTGTATTTTTTTTATTTTATTAAAATTAAAATTGTATTTTGTTTTATTTAGTTGTTGTTGTTGAAAATGCTAAAAAAATAACTGTCTGTGATGCTCGCACACAGAGCACATGATTTTCTGTAACCGCACATCCATGCAATGAACAATCACACCCTTGTAATAACTACATAGATCCCAATCCTGTCTGAATCAGTATTTGTATAAAATCACAAGATGTCCTCCGTTAACAACAGCTGCTCAAAAGTTATTTACAAAGTAAATCCTGTCTGAATAGAGATACAAAAAGAGTAATTCCGCTCTACTTCCATGAAAGGGATCCTATGATACCGTTACTCAACACAGGTCTGAGATGAGAACAGATTGCAATGTAAAAGCAGTAGCGGAGGCCAGTTTACTCACCATATTGATGGTGCTTCTGTGCCGCTGATCTCTAGAAAGTCATATCTATCTTCTAGTTGGAAGTCTGTGAAGACGAGGGCAATGGTGTCTCCCGGCTCGGCCAGAATACTCCACGTGCAGTCAGCATTGTTCTCATACTCTGAAGGAAAATGGGGACTTGATATTGTCCCTGTTGTTCCTCGTAACGTCCCACCACATGATCCTTCAGCTGGACAAAATACCACAAAAGTTACAAATTAGTATTTAGGCAAAGGTAAAATTACACCATATATAAATCAACATTAATTTTCAGAGCTCGTATCCCATGACTTTTTGTAGTCATTCATGAATAATGTATTAAAAATCCAGAGCTTAAATATAAGGAGTGCCCCACGATGCAGCGTCTAAGACAGGATCAGTACTGCTGCTCTCTAAACGCAGAGTATACTGGTTACCATTCATGTGCAAGAAGACGCAAAAGAGAACTGTTTATTTAATTTATAT